GCTCTTAAAATAATTGAGGTAGGATTGTATTTCTTAGAAAGGCATGACTTAATACAATGGATAGTACAGTCATCTCCGAGCACCTATGATTTGTGCTGGGACTGAAGTGAGCTGCTGTGACTGAAGTGAGCTCCTGTTACTGAGCCTGGGCCAGCTCTGCGTGTGAAAATGACCCTTGAGCGAGAAGGCACATTTCCCTTCTGCAGGTGCGGACGTGTTGCATTTGTCCTGTTAGATATTCATTCTGATCCTGGTTAGTGAGAAAGGAAGTCCGTAATTATGATCATGTCTGGGGTATTAATATTAACCCCAGTTATTGAACTTACTGAGGCAAATCAAAACCTTCCTGAAAATCATCATCACATGTTCCAAATCACTGAATTGTTTTGGGAGTTAGTCTTTTACCTTTTATGAATCTTTATTTTCTTGCCTCTCTCAAGTTCCGTAGAATTCTAGTAATTCTTCCTGTTTTATGAAAGGAGTTATCCCAGGGCCAGGCTTTGGGTTGTCAATTCCTTGGAAAGAGGGTTTGCACCTCCTCAAGGTGATTTTGGATTGCTTCCTTTCCCAATAGATTTAGTTTCTGTGTCTCAAAATGCTCTTTCTGAGCTGCCTTTGAATATGTGTAAGGCTTCTCATTCCTAAAAAAAGCAAATCCTAAAAAAAAATTCAGCATAGAATGTCATACTATTGCAGTCATTAAACTTGATGTTGCAGACTACTTATCATGAGAAAATGTTCACAATGTATTAATAAATGAAAAGTTAAAACATCCTGTAGAGTATGATCCTAATTTTGCTTAAATGCACATGAAAGAAAAGACAGAGGATACATACAAATGCTAGCTTTGATTATTTCTGTGGATTCGTGGCTGCTTTTTATTTGCAGTGTCTGCATTTCCTAAACTTTCTCTGGAGGGCTTTCTTGTTCATGAGAGTGGGGTGGGCGGCAGTGTGTGAGGACTGTGGGGATCGCCACAGCCCCACTCCACGGAGTTGCTTAGGTGTGAGTGGCACAGGTGGGGCACTCAGTGTAGTTCAGTTGGGCCCAAATGCGCTTGTTCATTACATTGTCCAGAGAGACTTAAAAGTCTTTTAAGTACAGATTTGGGGGACCCAGCTTGCTATCACTCTCCGGGCAGCTTTGTAGGAATTCCCAGCCCCTTTCTCAAGAGAAGTTACTGCCACCTGCTGGAGAAGTTTTGTAATAATTAACATTTGCAAATCGAGGAAGACTGAGGCACACCCTGGAGGTATGCAGAGCTGCAGGTACTGTCCTGTGGGGGGCCCACCTCCATCCTCCGACCCAAAGCCCTGGTGTGGATCTGGAAATCTGTACTTTTATTATTATTATTTTGATTAAAACATTTATTTTGGAAAATTTCAAATATACACATAGTGTGTCATGTAATGAATCTTCATATTATCCTCTCCAACTTCAATAATTAGTCACATTCTGTCATTCTGTGCCATCCTTTTCCTCTATCCTCCATAATATTTTTATGAGAGTGTTTTGGGTTTTTTTAAAAGATTTTATTGGGGAATTGGAGGAGGGGAACAACATCGGGGAATCAGGGAAGGGGACCAGACAAGTTGCTGTCCTTTTGTTCTTCAGTCTAGTTGTGGAGGACGTCGCTTCACTGGTCCAAGTTGGTATTATCACTGTGCTCTTCCTGGGTGAGGTAGTTGCTCGCCAGCCACTGGACAGCCACTCACGGTGGCTCACAGCAGCTCACAGTAGCTCGTGGCAGCCCACTGTAGCAGGGGCTACTGTTTATTGCCATTGCCGGTGACTCACAGCAGCACAGCTCAAGGTCGAGCTGTTGTTCACCATCTTAGCTGTAGAGGGTGCAGCATCACTGGCCCTAACGTGGGATCCAAACTGGGGTCCTGTTGCTCAGAGCTGGTGTCCCAAGCCAACTCTTAACCAACGCACCACTTGGCTGGCCCTATGAGACTGTTTTAAAGGAAATCTCAGACTTCCTAACCTTTCTCCCATATATTTGAGTATATAGATAGATAGATAGATAGATAGATAGATAGATAGATATAGAAGGAATTTCTAAAACTATCATTATTACACACAGAAATATGCTCCAGATGAGCCTTATAATCAACCAGATTTTAAAATAGTTGTGCAGAAAAGAGGGCAAGGGGGAGGTCAATTACAAAGTTAAGGGAAGGTGCTGAGTTTGTGCAAGTTAAGTTTAGATTTTTTTCTAAGGAGAGTGGAAAGGCCTCAGCCTGAGCAGGACTGTGGGATAAAGAGATCTGCTTTCTGCAGTGGTATTTTCCCCTCCCTCCCAGTCAGGAGGGGGTCCATGCACATCCCTCCCACTTTGGGACACTGACTTCCTTCTCTCACTATTAGTAGATTCCAGAGATTTGGAACCCTCTCACCAGCCTAATTAACATGCCCTCCTCCCAGTTTCCCCTTTGTCATTAAGGCAAGAGGACTAAAAGGGAACACGCTTGCAGTCAGACCCAGCAGATCCAAAATCAAACCCAAGATGTGTCTGGTCCTAATTAAGCACAACACAGGACTCCCAAGTCCCTAGTCTCATGACAGGTGGGTGGCAGTCACACAAAAGGAAAGGTCAGATACAGTAAGATGCATCCCAAGAAGACATGTAGTCCAAGGTATGGGTAGAGCTTGCCTGAGGACCCCACTGCCTCAGTTCTCTTTGTCATCTCCGATAGCACTTTTCTTTGGTCATTTATCCTTATTGCTTACTGTTCTCTATGGCGATCTAGACTCTTATTCCTGGCGATGCCAAAAAAAATGTATACCTTTTAAGAGATGTTACCTATGTATTACTTTTTGAAGTTGGATTGAATTACAGTAGCAATGTGTAGTATGACGTTCGCTCAAAACATGGCGTTAATCAAATGAATGCTAGCGTCATTCATAGTACTACAATTTTAATACTGTTTTCCTTTCTTAAAACGTGTACACATTTTTTTTGGCACCCTCTGTACATATGGTTTAAAGCCAACATTTTGGCCTATCGTATGGCTACAAATAAAGTCACTTGCCTACTTGACTCTTTCATAGCTGCTGCTGTCTCTGCTAACACCAGCCTCCTTCGCGTTGGGGTTGAATTCCATCCTTGCCCCGGTGCGCAGAGCCGGCCCAGGCTTCCACATGCTCATCCTGTTCGCTCCGTCCCTCCTGGCTCAGAATGCTAAGCTACCACCTACCTCTCAGGCTCCTCTCTGCTTTGTTATTCTGCCAACTGGGCTTTGGTTTCCAATAAGACTTTAACAGGATTGAAAATCATCCCCTAAATAAAGACCAGACTCAGATAAGAAATCTTATCTGTTCTACTTAATAGGTATGGGAGGATTATATATTTGAAGGTCATTCAAATCAAATATACATGAAACACTTAGTCTGCCTCTTTCACAACCTGCTATCTGGCTTTTGAAACATCACCAGCACCCCAGAGGCCGGCCTTCCCCTGGCCGTGCACAGGGTTTGGAGGTGCCCCTGCCTCACCTCCGACATGTCAGCCCCCACAAGCAACTCTGTCCCAGCCAATGAGGACCATCCTTCTGCCTACCCCTCTGGGCCTGGGCCATGGGGGTCGGATCCCAGGCCATCAGGGAGAGTGAATAATGGAGATGAGAAAGGAAAGGGAGAGGCTGAGAGAAGAGAAGGAGCCCTCTGATCTGGGCAGGGAGGTGGACACCTGGGTCTGAATACCAAGAGCTGTGCTTTACCTGTACAGCTCTGGATCAGTTTCTTCAGAGTCATGTGCTTGGACTATGTAATCCTGAAAAGTATTCTTTTTCTAAAATTGTATTAAGGGAAAAGAAAATGGAAATAGGAAACAAAAACGGTGGGAGGTAGTCACATACAATGCAAAAATGCCTCCAGGCTATTTCAGCAATGGAGCCTAAATGCACAGTTATGCAAACTTGGGTCTCAGAACCTCAGAGGTCTATAAATTCTATTTAAAATTTTGTATTTTCATTTTGAGGCGATCCAAAATATACCACTGTAAGTATATTCCGGTTTATTTCTATAAACACCTTGTAACTGCAGGGTGATTGTATTTACAGTTATGTTGACACCTTGTGGTGCAGAATTTTGCTTCCACTAAAAGATTGGAGGGAAAATGTTCTGGTATTTAATACTCACTTGATGAGAACTTCTTCATTTTATCTAACCCCAGTCCCTTGCTATAAATTTCTGTTGAATCTCGAACCCAGACATTTGGATGGAAAGAAATCAACTCAAATTTAATTTGGAATAAAAAGTAGTGTGAGCAGCAGCGTTCTCAGGATACTCTTTTTTGCCTTTTAACTCCAAGAATGTGGGATAAAGTAACATCAGCTACGATTTGATTGTCTATATCTGAAAACGTGGCAAGAATTTCATTGTTCATAAATTTTAAAAAAGCATATTTCTGTGATCTGTATTAATAGGTGATAAGCTTTAAAATGAATTAGGTCTCTTTGAGGTATTTATTAAGAGAAGTGGGTTTATAATTTTTGGCAAAATAGAATTTAAACTTCATTTATTGTTTCTTCTGAAGTGGGTTTAGTGTATACATATAACATTTTCCATGATATTACCTATGTCCAGTTTTAATCCTTTTATTTATGTGCCTGAAGGACTATTTGATGTTTTCTGCATCATGTATTTATTTTGCATCTAAGAGCATGAGCTCTTGCTTTTAGAACGAATGAACGTGAGGTTGAGAAAGTGATGGAAGGAGTAGTACATACACGAGAACCAACTTATTTGTTCTCGGCAAGGACTGTAAACATGGGTTGCAATCTCCTTTTAAATGGACTCATGGTAAAAGCACAGATTATAATTAAAACAAGTCAGCATTTGGACCACACATCTTACTATGCTATCATTGGTGATATTAAAATTAACCTCACAGTAGATAGTCACATCTCTTGAGGATACAGAGTTCAGTGAGAGGAGAATGGTGTTACACCTGAGCTAAAGGCGTGCTGGTGTTTGAAGACTGTTTTTGCCCGTAGGTGTGCATTTATACTACGTCGGGGGAGAGGTCTATGCCGAGTGTGTGAGTGACAGCAGCATCTTTGTTCAGAGCCGGAACTGCAACTATCAGCATGGCTTCCACCCAGCCACTGTCTGCAAGATCCCCAGTGGCTGCAGCCTCAAGGTCTTCAACAACCAGCTGTTTGCTCAGCTGCTTGCTCAGTCAGTTCACCACGGTTTTGAAGTCGTCTATGAGCTAACTAAGATGTGCACTATCCGGATGAGTTTTGTTAAGGTAAGGAGTGCTTTCTCCCAGACTGTAAGATGCAAAGTGAAAAACAAAACCAAAATCTCTCTTTGGTTGATGTCGCAGTTATACTGCTAGTTCAGGTAGACAACAATTTTTTTTGGAAGTCTATTTAATTGTTTTTAGGAAGAGCTCCTCTATGAGTATGAGCTCTCCTGTTTAGCAATTATAAGAAAATCATTAAGCATAAAACTTTTGGAGGAAGTTTTTTTAGTGCATTAGATAAAGTGACACTAATACTTTTATTCTGGCATTCAATATTACCTTATGTTAATTTCAGGTGTACAGCATAGTGGTTAGACAGTTATATAATTTATGAAGTGATCCCCCCGACTAGTCTAGTACCCACCTGGCACTATACATACTTATTACCATATTATTCACTATATTCTCTATGCTATTCTTTACATCCACATGACTATTTTGTAACTATCAATTTGTATTTCTTAATTCCTTCACTTTTTTCATCCTGCTCCCCAATCCCATTTCATCTATCACCCCAATAAATCTATTACCCATCTGATACCATACATAGTTATTACAGTATTATTGACTATATTCCTTATGCCATAACCTACATCTCCATGACTAGTAAGTAACAACCAATTTGTACTTCTTAATCCCTCCTCCTTTATACCCTCCCCAATGACCTTTCCATCTGGTAACCATCAAAATGTTCTCGGCATGTATGAGTTTCATTCTGTTTCATTTGTATATTTTGTTTTTTAGAGTCTACTTACAAGTGAAATCATATGACATTTGTCTTGCACTGTTTGACTTTACTACACTCAGCACAATACCCTCTAGGTCCATTATGTTGTGGCAATGGCAAGATTTCAGTCTTTTCTTATGGCTGAGTAATATTTTATTGTATATATGTATCATCTCTTCTTTTT